CTTCATTTCTGGACAATGATGGTTTGATTTCTTTGTATGTATGGATCACTTGGGTTGTTACCAACATCTGGTGAAAATTTCATGTTTTTAGCACCTCTAGTAATATATTTACTGAGAAAAATGTTGACGTGTTCAATACTTATTTTACCCACTGTATATCATTATTGATTTTAAACTTGTTATAGGAAAATTGATTGCTCACAATGAAGTGAGATGATACAATGGGTAAAATAAGTGAAATGTGAAAATACACTATAATATTAATGGATAAACACAAAAAGCACATTTATATAAATTCAGTGTTCTTTGTGATGKTTTCATGAGTTGAAGACAATATTTTTTGTGTACGTTCAAAAAAAAACAAGCTTATTTCAATGGTTTGAGTTTAAGTTTAAAATTAAATGTTTTAAAATGTAGCTCATGGACAATTTCATTTCGTGAAAGTAGCTCTTAAGGCAAACAAGGTTGGAGACCCCTGCGWTAGTCTTTTTAGTAGCATTAAAATCTGTATAGGAAAAGAACTTTATGGGTTGTTCCACCAGCAGATTGAATCACGAGCTGCATTTATCTGATCAGTTGTTTCAGTGTTTTAGTTACTGTTCTGTGTCTCCGCCCCTCTTCTGTCCAGCCTCTTTTTGCATATGTTACTCAGGAGAAGTACACTGAGGATGGCTGGAACATCTACAAACCTGTGGAAGAGTTCAGACGTCAGGTAAGAAGGAAGACAATTGCAGCATCAAAATGCTACTGTTGCAAAACCGTTATCCCAATCACCTATTTTCTTTATCATCCTCATATCATAATACCTTGCTGCCCACAGCTGAAGAGCAAATTGCAGGCGATAATGGTTTCTTGTGTGCATTTCTCTGGTAATTCAATTCAATTCWGTTTATTTATATAGTGCCAAGTCACAATAGTCGTCTCAGGGCACTGTACACAAAAAACAATAAATCCAAAGAAGTGAGCAGATTGTGTTAAATCTTCATCACAGTTTCCCATCCTCAGCAGCACATGTGTGGCAGTGATAAGGACAAACTCAATTGTAACAGAAACCTCCAGAATCACTCTCAGGACAGGCGGCCATCTGCCTTGACTGGTTGGGTTTGATGGGACAGGAAGGAGAGACAGACAAACACAGAAGAACTGGTCCAGGTGTATTTTTCTCTGGAAGAGAGACAAAGAAAACATGTTATTGATAGAAGTAATTACAACAAACGTAGAGGAGAGAGACTAAAGACAACAGCAGAGTGAGGAAATGTGCTCAGTTTGTGATCCAGCAGACTAAGTCTATAGCAGCAGAAATGAAGAATAATTCAGGAAACCTAAGTCTAACTATAGAATCAAAAAAATTATCAAATTATCAAAAGGAAAGTCTTCAGACTAATCTTAAAAGTAGACAGAGTGTCAGCTTCACGGACAGAAACTGGAAGTTGGTTCCACAAGAG